TCATCCTTGACCTCATCGAGATATGTGGAGGATCCGCTGTCGTCTCAAAGGAGGCCTCCGAGCTTGGGCTTGTTGTTGGGCCTCCCATAGACATCTCTGAGAGCCCACATTTTGACATCCTCGATGCATCTTTCGGAGTCTGGCTTGGCTCTATGCTTTCTTCGGGTAGAGCTAGGTCGCTCTTTCTTTCCCCTCCTTGCGCCACCTTCAGCCTTGCTGCTTACCCCAAACTGGGCACTCCTGCGAAATCTGAAAGAATCAGCCGAGGGCAGTCTAGGATCAAGATCGGGAGCGCGCTTGCTCAACGATGCCTAGCTTTCTTCTGCATCGCCTGGTACTGGGACGTCCCCACGCTCTTCGTGACGCCAAGACTGTCAAGGCTTGCCTGGACAAGATGGTGGAAGGCCGTCGCAGGTCGCAATGGAGTCGAGGAGTGGCATCTTGCTAGTTGCAGGTATGGGAGTCCCCACCGAAAGGAGTTCCGATTCCTTGGCTTCGGAATCCCAAAGCACCGGCTTGAGCTAAAGTGCAGGGGGGGTCACCCTCACGCAGGGCTCCAAAAGGCCGCCAGTCAAGGCTCCGCTGCCTTTTGCCCTGGTCTTGCGTACCAGATTGCAAAAACTCTTGCTGAGGCAATTGGTGCCCCTCAGCAGCGTGAACGCCCTGGCATTGAGAACATCATTATCAATGACTGCCTTTGTGCGGCAAAATGGGAGGTCACAACCGTCATACCCTGGCGGTCCTCTAGCCACATCAACGTGTTGGAGCTAGCTTCGCTTGTTGCTCTGTTGCGAAACATCGCGCGGGAGGAGCCTGACGCACGAGTCACGGCGCTCTCCGACTCTTCTGTCGCAAAGAGTGCCCTGGCAAAAGGTCGATCGACCTCGAGGGCGCTCACTCCTGCCCTTCAGCGGGCTGCCGCGCTCCAGCTCGCTTTTGGTTTATACTTAGCCATAGGGTTTGCTCCTACAAGACTGAATACTGCAGATGCTCCCACTCGCTTCAGGGAGCTCCCCGAGAGAGCAGCTGTTGCGATTCACAAAGCTTTCACTGTCGATCAGTGCCACGCGCTTGCTGTCCTGAAGCTCTCGAGGCCCCTTGCCTCCTGGGCTCGGATCTTCATCGTGGTCACATGCGTCCAACGTTGTGGTGCTCTGTCAGCTGCTGCCTTCCCTGTCGCCTCCGAGGGCTCATCTCCTTCTTCCCCTTTTGAGCCTTGCGACGGGGAGATCGCCCGTCCCTCTGTCCACTGCGGCCTCCTGCTCATCTGCGCTGCTGCTGTTGTGCTCTCTTGCTGCCTGCCTCTTCTCGGCTGGTTCGCGAGCCGCGGGCCGCCGTTTTCTGAAGCGTGCAGGGAGTCTAATCGCAGGCCTGCGTGCGGGGCCGGGCGTCACCTCTGTAGCCGTCTCCAAGTTGCCAAGCCTTTCTACCCTCGCCGTTCTTTCTCCAGGAGCCCCTCCCCTCGCCTACTCTCTTCTACCTTCCTTTCTCTCTTGAGTCTCTGTCTCACTGGTTCGGCTTCGTTGTTCGGTGCTGGTTTCGTTGTAAGGGTTGTAGTCCTTAGCAGCCTCGCCCGAGCCATGGCCACACCAGCACCTGCGACACCTGCTGACGCCCGCAGAGCTGAGAGAAGGGGGCCCATCACGCTCGTTGCTGACCGGATTGTTCGACCAGTCACCCGCGAGAATCGCGCTAAGCTTGCCCTTGCATTTGATACTTGGCTGATCAGGAATGAGCGTACATCTCTTTCATACCTGCTGGATCTGCCCCTAGGCGAGGCTGAAGCTGTCGCTGCCGCATTGGTCAAGTATGGCCAGTACATGTTCAAGTCAGGAGTCGCCTATGGAAAATTCTCTGAGACGATCAATGCCGTAGCATCTTTGCGACCCAGTCTGCGGCGGAACTTATCTGCCGCTTGGGACTTGGCTTTTGCCTGGCAGGCCGAGGAGCCACATGAGCATCATAAGGCCATGCCCAAAGGTATCCTCCTGGCGATTCTCGCTACAGCACTAGCGTGGGGCTGGCTTCGGGAAGCTGCAGCTCTGGCCTTAGGGTGGACTGGACTGCTACGGGCAGGCGAGATCATTGGAGCGCTTCGCTCCGATCTCATCCTGCCTGAGGACTGCGGCCCGGGAGTTGAATATGGCATCCTACAGATTCGTTCCCCAAAAACTCGAGGACGGGCTGCCAGACACCAGGCTGTAAAGTTGGACCCCGCTGACGTCCTGAAGCTTCTTTCTTTGGCCTTTGGAAAACTACATCCGAACAGTCGGCTCTGGCCTTTTTCAGCTGGTACCCTTCGTCGACCGCTTTGTCTTCTGCAACAACGCCTTGGGCTTGTGCACCAGGGAAAGGTCGTCTTCGAGCTCTCGTCGTTGCGCCCAGGTGGCGCAACTTTTCTGCTACACTTGACAGAAAGCCCTGACCTGGTCAGACGAAGGGGCAGGTGGTATGGCTTACAGTTTTTCGTTGTTGCTGGAAAAGGCCTTTTTCTTTGAACGTGCGCGGATTCCCCGGGAGGCTTGGTTTTACTTGCTCGAAAAACCAGCAGACGCTTGAGGAGGATGTGGTGGTGCGGTTTTCTCACGGCATCGCCGTCCTCACCGGCTTCGTGCCCCGGCTTGGGTGGTGTGGGTTTTCGAGGAGCTGCTTGGAGCTCCCAGTTAGCTTGCATTCTACAGGAGCATGCTTCTGGCCCTCCAGCAGCTCGCATGATGGTGGTGCCGATTGCACAGCACATGGCACCTACACGTACTTCTGCATGACGCTGCGCGGAAAAGGAAACGAGCTTGCTTGACCCATAAGCAAGGAGAGTACGTCTGATGCGCCGCCTCAAGCTTCTCCCGCCCACCCGCCCAGTCGCTGGTTTTCGAGGAGCTGCTTGGAGCTCCCAGTTAGCTTGCATTCTACAGGAGCATGCTTCTGGCCCTCCAGCAGCTCGCATGATGGTGGTGCCGATTGCACAGCACATGGCACCTACACGTACTTCTGCATGACGCTGCGCGGAAAAGGAAACGAGCTTGCTTAATTAGGGCCATCACCCTGCGAGCACGAAGGGACATGCGACAAATTTCTGGGGCCCTCACCAAACCCTAGCACGAAGGGAGGGGACATACGACAAGCATCTAAGGGAGATTTTTTGCTTCTACAGTGTTCTGAAAGTGCAATCGTGAGGAAAAACATAGGATGTTTTAGCGCTTGTACCTATAGAGCCGCCATTACATTGCCAGCACACAAGGGATAAACATCTCTATGTACTTAAACCACCTTTTTTTAGGGGCTGTGAACCTTTTCGCAGAGCAAGAAGAGTTGGGTAAAACCCTGCTTGCTCTGCGAAAAGGTTCCGTACAAGCGCAAAACAACATCCTATGTTGTTCCTAGTGTCTGCCCTTCGTGCTCGCAGGGTGAGGGCCCCTCGAGGTTAGGCCTGAAATCCCTAGAGCCAGAACGTGCTGAAGCGCCCAGCGTGACAGGTTTGAAGGTTTCAGAGAGGCGTCTTGGTTGGTCCTTGTGTGTGCGAAAAGACTGAGTGTTTTGACCCAAGTTTTGGGGACCGAGCGTGTTCAACTAGCATCCTGCTTTGCGGGACCGAGCGTACTCAAACAGCACCCAAGTTTTGGGGACCGAGCGTGTTCAACTAGCATCCTGCTTTTTGGGGGGCCGAGCGTACTCAAACAGCACCCAAGCTTTGGGATTCAGAACACTGTAGAAGTAAAAACATAACCCTTGGAGGTTTGTCGTATGTCCCCCCTTTGTGCTTGTAGGGTTTGGTGAGGGCCCTCGAGCTTTGTTGTATGGCCCCGCGGGTGAGGTCGTAAGCAACTAGCACCCATCTGCGCCCTGATGACCAAACAGCTCGCGCCATGGCGCAAGCCATTTGGTCGCAGGGGAAACATCCATGGTGTTTTATCGAGTTAAAGCACAAGTTTTTAGGGCTGGTCGCAGGGGCATGGCTAAACATCTCAATGTACGTAAACCATGGGGTGCTCGGGCTTCGTGGAAACGTTCTCCAAGGCACTGTCACCCTAGTGACTCGTACAGGAGGAAACCCCTCCTTCCAACTCCACTTGTGGGAGCTCCTCTACCAGAGGATAACCTCCTGCTCTCGAGGCAGACAGCTTACTCCACGCAGGAGGACACAATACTAGAGGCTTAGACCCCCGTGGACTCTGGACCTCCTCTGCGCACATCCACACATCACCGCACCAACACACATCAACACGTCAACAAATCAACGCCAAGTCTTGTTCTTTGTTATGTGTGGCGATTCCAGGAATCATCTTAACAGCAAAACCTTGATTTGCTTTAGATTTTCAGAGGTAAAGAGAATTCTCTATTTCCTCTGTCTTTGAAAGGAGGCACCACAAAAAGGTCAAAGCGTAAAAACAAGGGTGGAATGAATTCCTCGCCCCTTTCTGAGGACGTGTTCGGCCTTGGTTTGGGTATGCTAGGGGCTTGGGGCTTTCAACTGGAGGGCTGAAGAGGTTTACCATTCAAAACAGGGTTCAGGAATTGACCCTGGAAGCCTGAAGGCGTCCTTAAGCGCCGACCCTAGAACCTAGCGTGAGGGTTTTGGGTTCTGTGTGTGGTTTGCAGTTCTTGGCCTCTTGAGTCTCTCGCGGAAGTTCAGACCTTCCTGAATCACTCAATCATCTCGCGTCTGACTTGGTCACACACCACTCAAGCGGCGTGTTCAGAGGGTCTTTCACTCGGCGGCCCTATATTGACCCGTCGAGCACCATACGTTGCAAGGTTTGGTGCAATGGAACGTCGGGCCTTGCCGTGCATGGATAGAAACGCTGAAAGCCTCAGACTGCAACTGAACTCGAAGAGGCCCTGCAAAACGTTATACCATTGCACTACCATGACATTACACACGAGCTGCAATGGACAGCGACAATTGGTTCTTGGCGTCTCCAAAAGATATGTTGCAGAACGCAAATAACAAGAACTTCAAAACCCATAGCCGAACCTCTGTACACCGCAGTGCAGCGCGGCAGGTGTGGGCACGCGCGTCTACGCGAGCCCAGAACAAAGGGAGCTGGGCTCCTACGGCCTCAAGACGGATATCTTCGCTGGGCCCTTGGGCTTTCTGTTTAAAGCGACGTTTCAGGAGTCAGACTTCGACATTCCTGCGGGTTGGGGGGGGGGGGGTGCCGAAGAATGCCGGCGTCAGGCTTGGATTAGGATGGGTTTCGCATGCCCCCGGCCCAAAAGTTAAACCTAAGAGCAAAAGCCCACGCGCCTAGACCTCAACCTCCAAAATTTGAGCCGCCAGATCCTGGACAGCAAAAGTCTCAAGCCCACCCGAAACTCCCGAAACACTCCGCCGCTCAAGCAAAGAAGCAAAGTGAAAGCTGCTGCCCTCCGAGTCCTTGGGCATTATCCTGGCGGAGATGCTGTGCCCGGCCCGCGCTCCCAGAGCCTTAAGATGCTTCGAGCCCAGCATTTTTGATTTTTTGGTTGTAGGATGTGGGTTTTGGCCGTCGGGAAGGGGTTCGGGTCGGGAGGAAGGTCTGGAGGCATCCCACACATTCTGCATGAATCCACATTCTGTTCAGCCTATTTTCGGTAAAGCCAAATGCATGTGATCACTACTTTGGCAGTCGGGTTTAGTTGTAGGGTTTCGCCTGCCCCCGGCACCACGCCGTCACCAACATACCCACACATGTTAAGCATATGAGGGGTTCTACGCTTTACAAAAGCAAAATCAGCTGCATTACCCTCAGGCCCACAGGGATTTTTTCCGCATTAATCTTGGGCCTAACCCCTGATCTTCGAAAGGTTGTTTTGACCTGCAAAGACAAATAGATGGGTGGTTGAGGATTTGGATATGGTCTATGAGACAGGTTTAGATCTAGGCCTTTCGATGCAGTGCTCACCTTCTGACGCTAAACAGGCTTAGTTGAAAGTGCATGGGTGTAAACGAAGTAGATGCAAGTGTTTAGCTTAGTGGCCGAGCCCAAATACATGAGAGAGAAGCTCGTGCGCTGCAGGAAGGTCAACTCGCAAAGGACAAGCAGCGCTCCTCACTTTTAAAGCGCTGAGATGGTGGAGATCACGAGTCTCATGCAATCCCAAGAGCAGGCTCTCGACCTTAAAACAGCCAAGGCAAGAAGGGCCGAGTCATGTGTTGAGCCTGGCCGAGGTACGCGCAGAAATGGAGCGAGCAACCCTCCTTGATCAGCTGGGCTGCAGCCACGGCTGGGCCCCCTGTGTTTGGACTTTAAAAGTCGATGACGGAGTTGGCGCCCTCAGAAGTAGGGAGACTTGTAGAAGCTGGACTAGCTGACTAGCAAATACCGTGCCGACCGCAGGACAAGGTGTGCCCCAGCGCATCACGAGCAGCCTGCCCAAGGCGTGCTGGGAGGAATTCTGACGGCTGCTGTAGATAAAGGCATCTCGAATCTAGGGTTCCTGGTCAGGCTTCGGTGCTTGCTGCCAGTGCTTTGTGGTATACAGTTCGCGTGCAGTTGTCCTCGACCCAACAGGCCTTCTGCCTCCTAAAGCCCAGAGCCCGACTCCCTAAGCCCCTAGCCTGAACCTTCCAGTAGCAATAGCAAGGTAAGTTGGTTTAAGCATATGGCCGTTTGGGATTCAAGTCATCCAAGTATCGCACATGCTTTTCCAGCAACTACCGAAAAGGAGTGCGGAGCTCAAAACCCAGCTCTTCAACCTTACGAAACCACCATTAGAGCCCTGCTGTGGGAGGCCGCTCGCCTCATCGAGGCCTGGGAGAGTTTAGGCAGCAAGTTTGACAGCGCCCAGCCATTAACGAAAAGTATTTCACAAATCACAAATCGAACCATCACGCAAGCAAGGCACCAGTTTCAGACAATCCAACAAGCTCTGTGCCCTGCAGGCAATCCCTGCACCAACATCTTGAACACCAGCCTTCACAATTCTCGGTATGCTTTTACAGACACGCGCGCACACACACACACACACACACACGCACACGCACACGCACACGCACACGCGCACGCACACGCACACGCGCACACGCGCACACGCACGCGCGCACGCACGCACACACACACACACACACACACACACACACACACACACGCACACACACACACACACCCACACACACACACCCACACACACCCACACACACCCACACACACCCACACACACCCACACACACCCACACACACCCACACACACCCACCCACACCCACACACACCCACACACACCCACACACACCCACACACACCCACACACACCCACACACACCCACACAC